GATATGATGTGATGAGTGTCAGCTGGAAAACGGGTCCAGCATCCCTATGTAGCGATGAGTGATTATCTCCCACTCAGCATCCAATACTGCCTACGTCTGATGTAGGTGTGATGTATGTACTGTATGTCAATTCAAACTGAGGCATGAAGCCCTATCCTATCAACATATCAATCAGTCCTGAAGACGAAATCGTTGCAGTGATGTGATGTGTGTGACGTGGGTATCTGACCCGATGTGATGTATCACCATGTTACTGTAGATACCAGGGGCATTGATTACTTCCCAATGACCGGGAAGGATTGACCTCCTGCTCCCGAAATGAACCCTAACCCTAACAAGACCATTCTCATCATCCTCCCTCACAATCAGTCATCAAAACACTCCGGAGAACAGATGAGACACATGAAAACCCTAAACAGCCTACATGCCACCAAAGGAACAGATTGTCATTCCATGTTGATTAAGATCGAGGGGCCGATGGTTTCAATGAACAGAGGGGGCATCTCCTATCCTATTCCCACCAGCGGCCAATCATCAGGGAGCGATTCGACATCAAAAGAACAAGGGGGGGAGACAATATGACGTTTTTTCACCACTAATCCCTTCCACCCCGGCTTCTTCAGATCCCCGGTCCTCTCCCCCTGAGATGTTTTTGCTGTTGTTGCAGCTGATGTCACTGCTGTCGTTATCACCACCAGCGATGCAGGCACCATCGTCATTGTCATTGTTGTTATTCCTGTTGTTGGTGTCTCAATTGTTGTTGTCGCCGCAGTCGAAAACGCAGCTTTCTAGACCAGTGTCCCCATCGTTCTTGGAATTTCCGCCGTTGTATTGCCTTCGTTGTTGTTGTTGCTGTTGACGTCTGTGATACGCAACCTCACGCCCCCTCGCGGCTTCCCGTACTGGGTCGCCGATTAGAGTTCTAGGAGGGGCGTGGCCGAGGATTTTTGGCCGTAGGGGTTGAGTCTCCCGGGCGGAACGGGAGGCTCTCGTTTCGTGCCAGAGGTTACCCCGGAGTCGAACTGTCGTCGCGAAGTCCCGTGGGGGTCGGATCGCTTCGAAGCGATAAAATCAGAAGGGTTTCCGCAAAAACAAATTGCCGTCATGCATCAGGACGGGAGAAGGCATCAAAGGGAGAGGGCCATGGCGGCGGAAGACAGAAACTCCGGCCGTCATGGGTTTGGGGGATAGGTGGTGGGTTCGAAGCCTTCAGGCCTCGTCATCGGCCTCATAAAGTGACCGGACCGTCGAGTTTTTGGTGTAGAAGTGGTGGGCGGAAGACAGAAACTCGGCGTCAAACTCGCTAAGTCCGCGCGAAAGTTTCCGAGAGGGTGAAGCCGCGGGAGGACTCGCCGGCATCCGAATTCGAAATTGCGCAGGCAGCACCCCCGCATTACGGGAGAGCTCGGGGAAACGTGTCGCTCCCTCGTAACTCAGGACCAAGCGTCGCCACGAACACGAGTCCCCCTGGCGACACCAGCGACAATCAAACTGCGGCCGCCACGCAGCGTAAGCGGCCGACCAGGGCAACACAGTCAAACCCGTATAAGGCAATATTAGAGTCGGGGAATCAAAGCGATCAATCAAGACAAACCCGTTCCCCCTTATATTACACGCTCGAGGCGGGTCTCGCCAACACACTTGCTCCGTCCGTCTCAACGCGCGTCGTACGTCCGCATCGCAGTAGACGCTGTCGTCATCTGCAATGGGGAAGGTCAGCAGCGAGATGAGACGATCGGAGGTGCGCGATGAACACGGGCAAGATCCCGCGCTCCCGGTGATCCGAACCAACACCGACTTCATACAACACTCGATGCAACCCTTTTCTCCCAAGGTTAGGGCGTCGGGAGAAGATGGCGAAATCTAAGCTCTCTTCCCCTGACGGGGGCGTCGACTGCGCGCGCGCGGACGCCGGCGGTTGACGTCACCGGTGCAGGGATGAGAAGTTCAAAAGCGATGACTACCAATTCAAAAAGAAAGGCGAGAGAAAGAGAGAGAGAGTGAGTTACACGAGACTGCGCGTGCGCGCAGGAAGGGCCGCGGAAGGGAGGGGAACAACGGGATTAACACACTCATACTCCTTAGCAGACGGTCCTCCAGTTCTGTTCCCCCGTCCCCGCCCGGATAGGTACATACACACATACATGCATGCAATCAACAACCCTTGACAGGACATCCAATCATCCATAGACCTTTGACATCACTCATGCGCGCAACAACCTCCCATCATTCGGGGCCTCACACACACGTCATGCATAGACAAAGCAACAGTGGAGATAAAAGCGAGTCCTTCTTGTAAACAAAAATTCTCAATTAGCTGCCGCCCCCAGGCGCAGCCTTCAAAACTTCCCAAGACCACCGACCACCATAGCCACAAGGCCCTGCCGCGGCCGGCGTCCAACCCCCCCCACTGCTCAGTCCCTCCGACTGCTTCGCCCTGAGACTACCGCGGGTCCACCCCGCATCGTCACTCCGCCCGTCCTTGGGCTCGTCGAGCCTGTTCGGCGCCGCGGACTTCGCGCATAACTCGCACAGCATTGCAGTCGAGATCAAAGAGAAGGAGAGGAGAGGGTTGCGCAAATTTATAGCGCGGGAGGCAGCGGGTTGTCAGCACGAGGTGCGGGCAGCGCAGGGTGTAGATGAGCAGGACAGAAGAAAGGTGGGGAGTCAGTGAGTTCGACCCGCGGGGTTGCTTGGTCCTACGTGATTGGGGTGTTCGTTCAAGTGGTGCGCGTTTTCCCGCTCCCCACATTGATCCGAGCATCCCAACTACGCAGCCAATCGCTTCGCGGAAGAAGACGGGGTAAGGATCACGCTGGGCGTAGGGGAAGACGAAGAGTCCGGCCTGAGGGAAATGCGCGCAGCAAGAGAGAAAGATGGCGCGGGGATGCAAAGCAAGAAACGGGGGTGCGAGACGCGCGAAGAAATCGGAGCTTAGGCGTGCGCGCGCAAAAATTCAAAAAGTCCCAACCGAAACCGTTTCTTGGTTCTCATACCGCGGCCGCTATTCGCCCGCGCGGGAGTTATTAGCCAAAGAAAAAATGAAAAAGCCATTTCAAAAAGAAAACAATAGCAAAAAAGAAAGAAACCCCCCTTTTTCTTCGCATCCGTACTTCGGGGCTTCCGGGGGATTTTTCCTCAGGGATACGGCAAGCCGCGCTTTACGGGTCTGAGCTTATCACACGTCGCCGTCAACAATGTCGGTGTTGTGGTTGTTGTTCATGACGTTGATGTCGTTGTTGCTGTCAATATTGTTGTCGTTGTCGTTGTCGTTGTCGTTGTTGTTGTTGTTGTTGTTGTTGTTGCTGCTGATGTCATTGTCGCTGCTGATGATGTTGTTAGTGTTGTTGTTGTTGTTGTCCGCGCCGCTGTTGCCGTCGTCATCGCAGTCCTCGCAGTAATAGCTGTCAGAGATTGCTCGCCCTTCCCTGAAGAAATCGTAGCATCTACATGTGATATCCCGCTCCTGCTCCCAAGCGATGATGTCATCAAGCCAAGGATCCGGCCCCTCCTCCATCATCCTGATGATGTCCAGCATCTGCTGGGACATATCCTCCAACCAATCAGCCATCTGAGCCCCGCCCCCTCGGACCGCAGATGGGTGATTTGCTGGGGATGACATCACCCACACAATCTCTTGCAGCCGACGCCTCCCATCCTCCAGCTCTGACAACCATACCGCCGCGCGCTGTTGCTGTTGTTCATTCGACGCCGTCATACCTGCCATTTCTCCTGCTGCGTCGCGTTTGTTGAGTATCGACCGTCGCTCCGCTTCTACACGCCAAACATTCTCCTGCTCTCCCGCCAATAGATTCAGATGCAGAATCTGCCACGTCAGCGTTACACTCGACGTGCGGTGAGATCTGCAGCCTAGCCAAACGCCACCTGGCACGATGATATGGCCAGTCACTCGAAAGGCAGTCGGGCCTTGCCGACTGCGATCGCGCAGATCATTTGCACTCTAACCGGAAGCAGGATGCATCAAAATTCTTCTTACCTTTTCGGATAATACAAGTAAAACACTGAGCGTGGGATCACGACTACTGCACGGCAGGATTTGGGTCACTCAACTGCCCCACAAACTCGTTTCTATCCTATTCCGTTGCTAGTGGGACCTCGCCCCAGGGGAAGGTGCCAAATGTTCCACTTATTTTCTTTACATATTAAAAAAAACGAATTAAAAAAAAAAAACCGAAAAATTTCCCACTGAGTGTGAATATGCATATCCCAATTTATTTTTACACAGAGAGAACAGAGGGGTCCCACAAGCACCTGGCACCACTCGGGAGCCACAAATCTGTCCCCGACTCCCAGAGTACATACTAATATATAATATTCATGTCCCAATTTTTCCTAACACAGAGAGAACAGAAGGGGCAAACATAAAAAAGGGCCCCACAAAAAGTTGGGGTAGCTGGTTTGAAAAAAAGAAAAGAAAAAAAAGGGGCCTACAACAAACAACAACAACAACAACAACAACCAAAAGAAAGGGACTGGGAGCCCATAACCACTTGGCACCATTTGACAGCCACAAATCTTGCAAAGATTCCCCGGAAAGCAACAAAGTACTCCAGCAGCGAGGGCCAACTGGCAAAAAAAAATTGAATGACTCTGGACGTATTTGCGAAGAGGTGCGTAATACTATAATGACAATAAAAAAAGGCCTGAAAGGCCGTCCTGTCCAGATTTGACAGGTAATTGAATTGGTTGGGCTTAAAGAATTAGCCTTTAAAAACAAAAAAAAATCGTGATTGATCCGCTTTTCTACACCTTTCCAAAAACACGTCCAGATTCACGCGTTAAATCCAATCCTATCTGGCTAGTGGGACCTCACCCCAGCTCAGTGCCTCCGGACCAGACAAGTGCCAGTGGCATCCGTGGCCAAGGCACTTCCAAGAACGACTGTGCAGTGACCGACAGTCAAATGGGCGAAATTTTAGGGACAGCCTTCCAAGAACGACTGTGCAGTGACCAACAGTCAAATGGGCGAAATTTTAGGGCCTCGCCACACAAGCTGTCGAAATGTGCAAAACGAGAATGAACTTGCCGCTAGAACACCGCCAGATGCGCCTGGCACATTTTTGTCGTTTTCACGTTTCGGAAGCCTGTGTGGCGAGGCCCTTAGTCTGAACTTCTCTGAGGCGAAGTCAGATTTACTCCCCCCCCCCCCCCCCCCCCCC